GTGAACTTAGAACTCTCGTGATCCAGTCCACCTCTTAAAAACCTATAAACTGGCAGCCAAGTTTTTAACACATGAGCCTTTGAGGGACATTTTTAGATTGAAATCATAATTCTGCCAAGTTACTTTACCCCTCTTGTCAGGACCAGGATACAATGAGGTACGTAGAACACAAGATTTAAGGAGTCACTCCCAGGGCTCTGCATTGGGTTGGCACTCTCACCACTGTGAAATCTTGTTGTTTTTTTTTTTTCTCTTCTTGGCAGTACTGGAGTTTGAACACAGGACTTGTGCTGGCTAGGCAGGCACTATACCACTTGAGCCACACCTCCAGCCCTTTTCGCTGTAGGTATTTTTCTCAAATAGGATCTTGTGTTTATGCCTGGACTGGCCTGTACCACCATTCTCCTATTTATGCTTCCTGTGCAACTGGAATGACAGGTGTGTACCACCATGCCTGTTGTTTTGTTTTGTTTTTTGCTTGGGCTGATCTGGAGTCTCGATCCCAATCTCAGCCTCCTAAGTAGCTAGGATTACAGATCTGAGCCACCGTGTTCAGCGAAAGTAAGATTTTTTCATGAGTTTCCTTAAATTTTATAACTTAGGTGTCTTTCTTGACTTACTCTACCCTTGTCCTGCCCTACCTTTTTGTACAGTGCTGGGGATTGAACCCAATACCTGCATATGCCAGGTAGGACGTCAACTACTGAAGAACATCCCAGACCCCAGTTTTCTGGTATGTAGAGTGGAGATTAGACTCTCCCTAACAGAGAAATTATAGGAATTAAATGAATAACTCAAGTAAAAGACTAAGCACAGGCCTCGCACACAGCAAGGGCTCAGTAAGTGATAGCTGTTGGTTTCTCTGATGAGACAGTTTCTGAGAAGCTGGTCACCATGTCTAATTCATTTTATATTCCTAGTAGCCATAAATTGCCCAAAGTTGGAGGCAACTAAGATGTCCTTCAGGAGGTGAATGGTTAAACTGTGGTACAGCCAGAGAATGGAGTATTATTTAGCACTAAACAGAAATGGACTATTAAGCCACAAAAAGACAGAGAGGGCAATTAAATGCCTATTATTAAATGAAAGAAGGCAATCTAAAAAGGCTGCCTACTGTATGATTCCAACTATATGACATTCTGGAAGAGGCAAAACTTTGGAGACAGTAAAAAGATCAGGGGTTGAATGGAAGGTGGGGGTGGATAGGCAGAGTGCAGATGATTTTTAGTGCAGTAAAACTACTCTGTGTGATGCTATAATGGTGGATACAGATCACTATACATTCACAATGTCCACAGAATGTCTAACTCCTAGGATGAACCCTACTTATCATTCTGATGGGGGATGATGATAATGGAGAGGCTATGCAAGTGTGGGGACAAGGAGTGTAATAGAAATCTCTGTACCTTCTGTTCAATTTTGCAGAAGCAAAATTAAAACTGATCTACAAAAGCACCCCAAACTAAACTTACATTAAAAATAGTAGGTGATCAATTATGTTTTAGCAAATTTATTAGTAGTTGCCAAATTTGAACAGTGTGGGTAACCTATAATCAGGCAAATCCCCTATGCTTTGAGTTCCTGCATCAAGAGTTCTTGAGCTGGTTCATCTCCTTGTTTTTGCATCATGTTCAGAAGGCTTTGCTGAGGTGCTTTGGACAGAGGGAGGAGACCCCAAACCTCAGAACATTTCTGAGGTTGGTTTCCAAATTAGAACCATGAAGGGAAAGGCTTTGGAAATAGGATGTGTGCGTGCTGGAAGGACTGGCTCACGTCTGGATAGCAGCAGCTTAAATGTGCAAAGTGGCTTTGGTCCACGCGAGCTGGTCCCAACAGGAATGGACCGGCTCCTTCTTGGTTGTACACTTGGCAGCTCCCTAGGATGGAGAGTCTTTCCTGGAACACGGAGACTATCTTGCATCTTGCCTGGAACTCTGTGAAATTCTTGGTAATGCCTGGCCCAGCTGGGTGCACCCCGAAACACCATTTATTTGATATTGGGGTTGCTATTCCTTTTTTACATTGTGGTTGGGACTCGTTAACTCTCAATAAGGACCCATGATGAAGAACTTTTCTTCTCTTTCTAGCAAAAAAAAAAAGTTTTCTTGGTTGGGCCACAGCTCTTGTAACTGATTTGTTCTCCTGGCACAGGACGGCATGTTGTGTGGTACCCTCAGGCGGGTGAGAAAGGGGACAGACTCAAGAATTCCTGGGTGGGAAGGCTCTTCCTTGCATTTACAATGGCTAAAATGCTATGCTTAATAGCCCCAGACTGGTCTATTTTTGCACGGAAACTGGGTATGTGTGGAATTTGATTTTATTTTTTACTTCAAGATGGCTATAATAAGAGCCAGACTGCTGATGAGGCTAACGATTAGAAGCAGCTTCGAAATTCCCCACACAATCTCGTTGGGTTAAATTTTGAGATCTTGTTCTAATAGTGCAAAATGTGTGGTGTTTAATCTACAACCTCACTGAAGGGCTCGTAATCATTGGTGCCAAACACATGCATTAGGTTTGCAGTTACTTGGTTCAAGGATTGCCTCAATAACCAGTCATGGAATTTACGTAAAACAGTCTGGAAGGGTATTGGGAAGGTTCATTTTAGTAACTGCTGTATTTATGTCCATCATATCACTACGAAATTGGCGAGCATGAGGCAGCCTTCAGAGTGGCTGTGCATGTACAGTCACCATTCCTGGATGCACTGAGTTCTTGGAAAACAAGGAGTACAAAGAGGGCTGTTGGCTTCAGGAACTTGGCTTCACGTTTCTATCCATCTGAGTCATGTCCATCGTTGCACCTGCTTCCTGTGGAGCCAAACTTACACATTAGCACCATTACTCTTTAATAGCACTGCAATTGCACAAATCTGTGAAGTCCGTCTTTTCCCTTTCTTTCTTGGCCATAGAATACAGTCTCCAGGACTGTGTGAAGGGTGTGTATGTATGTGTGTGTGGGGGGGTGGGCACTGAAGAATACATTCTGAGTCACTGCTTGAAAAATTTTTATTATATTAGTTTTCAAGTGATCCTGGTAATGAAGTATTATAGTGATAGGACAAGCAAACATTTACACTGAAAAGCAAGCAGGTGGTAAAGAGCTCTGCTTTGGTTTACGATATGAGAGGAAATTTCCAAAGCTATTATCAACTCAGAATGTGGGACTGGAAAGACTTTTCCAGTATGGTTGGTGGTGTTCACAAAAGAGCCACTGCTTTCCAAAGAGAGAAACTTGGACCCTGAGAATAAACTCATCTCTTCCACTTATTTCTTATATAAGCAAAAGAATCACTATCGAGGCATGATTCCACACTCCCTTAGTATCTGATTTGTCATGAACCATGAAGTCTCATTTTAAAACTCTTCAATGCTCAAGAAATAGGAAAACAGTTGCATAGCAAGGACAGAAGAGTCTGGACAGGAGTTGGCATATGATAGCCATGGTCTGGCCACCTGTTTTTGTAAATAAGGTTCTACTGGAGCATAGCCATGCTTACTGGTTTATATGTTGTCTGTAGTTGCTTTTGTGCTAAAATCACAGAGCTGAGAGTGGGGATAGGCACTGTATGGATAACACAAACCCTAAAATATTAATCTCTGAGTTTTTACTGAAAAAGTCTGCCAGTTCTGGTCTAGACAAATAGTCAGATGAGCCAAATGTTGGCTGAAAGTCCTCAACTCACAATGCCAAGAGGAGGATTGGGTTGGCTTTGGTCATTGTCATGCACTGAGTACTTAAACCAAAAACCTTATAAGCCAGTAAACTAAAACTCCTACATTCACCTTACTTTAGCGCAGCAATATGGAAAGTAAAATCAGGTCTGAATATATTTTATATGCAACCTGGATTTCTAAAACATTGCTGGATTGCATAAGTCACTGTCATTTCTCAAACTTTTTAATAGATGCAAAAGTTGGAGGTCACTAAGGTACTGTGTTATACATATGTCTATGCAAAATTCCACAATGCTCAAAACTGAGCACTCTAAGCTACAAATGGAGTCCTACTTCAAGTAAAACTCTCCAGTCTAACTGCTTCCTAATCTTTGTAAACAGTTTCAAGATTTACCAGAAATCCATCATTTGAGGAAGCAGAAAGACCTAACCGAGCCTCCCAGCACCAACACGCTGCACCCATTCAGTAAAACATGCCATCAATTATATGACTGCTGTCTCTAAACTAATGGGACATTTTCCACAATGGCAGAAACTGCTACCAGGAGTTCAGAAGCCAGACGTGGGCTCTGGGTTATTTTTTATGCATTGTTGATGGAATCGAATCACTCTCCTTTATGGCCAAGTTTGACCAGTCTGGTCAGGTGTTCAGGTTGTGATGAAGAACAAAACTAAAAGACCTGAGCAGTTCGATTACCGTCTTACTAGCTCCGAGTTGAACCCCCTACACCAAGACAACTGCAAGATAGTTGGCTGGAACGGTATTGAACTGCCATGTCGGGAACAGCTGGAAGGCTTTGAAATGCCATGAAGCATAGGTCTTTGAACTTTAGTATATGCCTACCATCACAAAATGCCACTTGTAAGTTCCAATTTTAAAGAGGCCCCTTATTTTCAAAGGTGGATTTTAATAGTAGTAGTTTTCAGAAAAGATGACTAGCTATTCTAATTTAGGGATAAAAAACTGAACTCTTTTTAGGAGGCTCATAAAAGGTGTCCTAGAGAAAAGGAATGTTAGGCCTTTCTTTCAGGAGTGAGGTCATGGGCTCAAGGATTTCTTTAAAGCCAAGAAACTGACTCTACAAGCCACATGGGAGAAGCAACCTATGCCTTCTATGGCCAAATCGCAAACGCACATTTTTGTGTGACATTCCTATTTGAGCAGCCAGGCTCTAATTAAGATCACTAGGGAGAGGTCCAGGGTGTGGGGAACACTTCGAATTACGTTCCATGAAAACATTAGACTGTCAGAGCTTAGGAAGGCCCTGATTGTCCAGATTGGGGGAGAGGACTGAAACGAATGCTCACACATGTCAGCATGAAATAGCTGCTGACACAAATTGAACATGTGCAATTTTTTAAAAAGGTGGTATCGAATAACAGGCCAACAGCCATCCCCCTCGGCATTTCAGGCGTCTTTCTTCTCTCCACTTTGGCTCTTTGTTGAGTCACTTCCATCAGGCAAGGTTCCATAGGATAAGCCATTTGAATCTGGTTGTATTTTGTCCAACATTTGTTTCCCTGTGGAGATAATAATCATAAAAAATCTTTTGAGCTCTTACAGAAGAAAAACTCCTAATAATTTCTCTTCAGTCTAGGCCACATTTTATTTCTTTTTTCAAAAAAATACCATGTGGTCACCCTCTAAATAGAAAAGATAAACGTCAAAGAAGAAAAGGCCCACAGAATCCCATGTTGCTTGATATGCGGTCACGCACTATCCATATGAGAGAACTGTCTGCCCACCCTGGGCAGGGCGTGGAAACCAGGTTGGGCCAGTTGGAAGATTCACATGAAGCACTCACTCATCTCCAACCTTTCTCCCCACTGTCTGGTCTTCTTTTCCATGTCTAATCTAAAGCATTTCACAACACAGAAAAGCAGCCTGTAACAGTGGCTTCAAAAGCTGTTACTGATCCTACATATGAAATGGAAAATAAGAGTTGAAAATAAGTAAACTTTGTTTTCCACCAAGCTTTATTTCCTACCAAAGGGTATTTCTAAACAAGCCATCTATAATGCACAGTTTCTACAAATGCCAACTCTTGTATTGAAGGCTCTTGGCTAATAAGATGCTTCACATGGCAAAGAGGATATGGAATTTATTTCCTTGGGTCATACTTTCTTAGTCTTAGGGACAAGATTTTAATGGCTTTGCTTCAAAGGCACGATGCTAACATAATGGTAGAGGGAAGCTCTGAGAATATATCCATTTCTGCCTGGAAACCTGTAGGTCACCCCAGAATCCCTATAAAGATGGAGACTGCTTGGGTCAGGCAGCATGTTTCTGTGGAGGTGGAGTGAGGACATGGCAGGCGTTTCCTTGGTTCTGTCTGGACTTTGCTTCAGTTGTCTACAAGCCTGAGTGAGTTATTTCTTAGCAGGAATGAGAATTGGAAAGAAGATGCACATTGGACCAACCCAGATGAGTGAGGTAAAGAGGAGGGGAAGAAGCTACTTATGTTTTGGTGACTGAGATGCTGCTGCCCTTTGTACCATGGTACACAAGCCATCTCAGTCATCCCCAGGATGATGTTCCTTAGCAGCTAACCTTGAATATGCCTTCAAAGGCTCTCCAAGCAATAGGATCTGCTGTTGGTAGTCATCCCCCGCCCCGCCCCGCCCCAAGCTCTTCTCCATCCTTTCACATTTTAAGAAAACCCAAAAAAGAAACCTCCAAATCACCCAAATCAAGACAACATGGCCAATTCTTTTATAACCTCGATGTTCTGTGCAAAACCGACATTCCATAAATTAGTATTAACGTTTACACTGAGAATACTACCTTTGGCTTCATCATTAAGTATACTTTTTTGAGGATAAGAATTATGTTTTATATTAACACCCCAAATAATGTCACCAATTATTAATTTATGAGGACAAATGTTTCTATTATAAATTAGAGACAATATGCATATGTATTTACCAGGAATATTTCCAAAATCAATGTAGGACTGTTGCAGATGTTCCTTTTCTCGATTTCTTGTCATCAAAAACACACCAAGGAATGACAGAAAGCACCTGCAAGAGAAATATTAATAGAGAACACTGGAACAGCTCATGGTATGAAATAACTGAGCTGTATATTCTATATGATTATATAAATCCCAACAGTTTTGTTTATCCTGTTTCTCATGGTAAGCTGCCTAGAACTTGTCTTAATTGTTGTAGCCAATAATATTTATACCCAGAACCAAGACTACTTGGGCAGCTTCCAATAAATCTCTGCCCCAGGTTTTTACCATCTGGAGGCTAATTCAGGCTCTAAACCCTTTGGGTAGACACTAGGTCTCGTTTTCTGTCCATGCATGCCCAGACCCATTACTGGCACGCAACATGAGTGAAAAACAATTTATTCTTTAATTTTCTAAGAAATCACATTGTCCTTGGCCATAAGACTAGTCATAGTTTCCAGACCCCAGAAGTTTGGCCTCACCCAAATGTCTTATGAAACTGAATTTTCAAGATAGATGGTTTCCTATGCTGAAAATAGTCTAGGTTCAAGTTTGTATAACAATGGTTATGCTCAATACCAGATCAAGAAGCAGCTAAGCATTAATGGGGTGCTAGTTGGAGCCAGTGGAAGCTTCTGATGTATTGTCAGAGTTTTGCCCTTTGTCAGCAAATTCTAGCAATTATGTCCATCAAATCGCTAAGAGGAGTTAAGTGAGGCACTCTAACACAAGAAGGGATGTCACCAACTTGAAGTTGGGAGGTCCAAAGCTAGGCATCTGCCCCAGTCTTGGTCCTTTTATTCTGGATGATCCTAGAGGCATCCATGGTTCTCAAGTTGAGATCTAATCTAGGGGTTCCCAAGGACATGGTGGGTCTGTACTACAAAGGCCAGTGGATTTACCCTGACTTTGGCTGAAATGGAAAATTGCCAATGTTTCAGGACCCTTGAAGAGGTACCTAAATCACAAAGCCAAAGGCAACAAGCCCTGTGTGGGGTGTTCAGTTGGAACATATGTTACTTTTAAGAGTGCAGGAAACTGATGTTTCTTACATTATTTTCCAATTCTGTATACTTCAGGTATGATGCCAAAAAATTCTATATAAAAGTAACAGAATTTCACATACCTTACCTCTGAGACATTTACTCACCCAAAAAGATATATAAATATGGTGAAAAAAGCAGCACCAAGGAATTCCTGGTAAAATATGATACCTATACAGAAGAGAAGACACAATTAATTTTAGGATAGGAGTATTTATAATATCTACACATTGATTTAAAAATAATGTTAATATATTTTTTCTGAGTATGGTTACCCTGAAAAATGCTCATCCGATAGTTTAGTTTAAAAAAAATGTGTGTGCTACATTTACAATTTTAAATTACTCCAAAAAGATGTATGTAAACTTGTAGGCTTCATATAATTCTATTATCATTATTATTAGATCAGTATAATTGACATAACTTTTGTAAGCAGAAATTTCTTACCTATTTCCCCTTCAAACATTCAAGAGAACAAAACTCTACGGACCATTTCCCAGCTATGTTTTTAGGTAGGATAAGCAAGCCAGGCCCAAGAGTCCGGGTAGAGCCTGGGGCCTATAATAAGCCCACCTAAGGCCTGCTACTGCAGCCTCTGCTGTCACTTTTGGTTATGGCCTGTGGTCTGTGGGCCTGACCACATGCCCAAATGGGCACTGGAGGACACTCTGGAAGCAAGGTGTGGCCCCAGCTCCATTTCCTTCTGCTGGCCTCCCTCCCATGTTCCTCTCTGGTCTTCCCTTCTAGGCCATGGAAAACAAAGCACATGTCACCTGCTTTGAGGAGCTTTTCTTTTGTAAAGTTCCAAAGCCTTTGCAGAGATTTTATTTCATGAGGTATCTTTAATTCAGACTCACCTATAATTAGATTTGTGTGTGTGAGATGTGGGCATTGCTACCCAGTCAGTGAATCCTTTTTGGGTGTATCCTATGAGCTACTTCTATAGGCTCTGCAGACCCCACAGTGAGCAGGACCTCAGGAGAGAAAGCTTCCTCAATTTCAAACTTCCCTCCTCATCTAGAAAACGAGCTTCTTACAAGAAGAAGACACATCCAGTTCTAAGGAATAATATCAAATAAATAAGCATTTCTGAACCTTTTCCCATGTAGTTACATGTTGGTAATTATTTTAATGTTTTTATGTTGTTCTAAGCTGATGTACCATAATACTCGTTTCTTGAAGGGAAATTTTAGTAGTTTCTAAAGGTTTGTTTTTTAGTAAAGTAGCAATGAACTTTGTGTTTGAGGATTTTTGTTGTTTTTAAAAGAGTTTCTAGAACTGGAGTGTCTGTTTTAAGAGTGGAAACATTGTTTATTTTTAAGAATTGTAGTAAAATATACATAATATAAAATTTGCTACCCTAACCACTTTTAAGCACACGCTTCATTATTGTTAAATATATTAGCAGAATTTTTTCACCTTGAAAAATTGAAACTCTATTACCATTAACCAACTCCCTGTTTCTTCCTTCCCACAGTCCCTGGCAACTACCATCCTGCATTTTGTTTTTGTGAATCTATTTTAGATATCTCAAATAAGTGGAATCATACAACATTTGTCTTTTGTGACTGATTTATTTCACAAAGAATAATGTCCTCAAGGTTAGCATGCTGTAGCATGTGTCAGAATTTCCTTCCCTTTTAAGACTAAATAATATACCATTGTCTATTTAGATCACATTTTGTTTATCTATTAATCTGTCAATGGACACTTGAGTTGCTTCTACTTTTTGGCTATTATGATTAATGCTGCTATGAACAAAAGTATACAAATATTTTTTTCAAGCTCCTGCTTTCATTTTTTTTTTTGTATACACCCAGAAGTTGAATTGCTGGATTATATGGTAATTTGATTTTTGAGGAACTGTCACACTGTTTTCCATAATGGCTGCACCATTTTAAATTCTACCAATGGTGCATGAGAGTTAAGATTCTAATTTCTCCACATTCTCTCCAACACTTGTTATTTGATATTTTTAATAGTAGCTATCCTAATGTGATGAAGTGACATCTGAATTAATTTCCTTGGCAATTAGTGAAGTTGAACTTTTTTTTCATATGTTTGTCCATTTTATATTTTCTTTGTAGAAGTTAATTAACCAGGTTATTTATAGTTTTGTTGAGTTGTACAATCAAAGAGTAGGAACATTTTTAAGGATCTTGATAAAAACTATGAACTCAGTTCTAGGAGAGTAGGACTACCTACCCAATCCCAAGACTGCCTGTGATAGTGTAGCCTTGTCCACATGGACTATTACAAAAAAAAATACCCAAACAAAAACCTTACAAGTTGAATAGATAAAATGTGGTATCTCATTTTAACTTTAAGCTGTACCTTCTGATGGAAGTAGGGAAGAGAAATTAGTCAAGAAGCTTTATTTCCATTCCACATGTGAAAAGGATGGACTGTTATCACTTCCAGAATGCCCCAGTTTCCCTGACTCATAAATTACTCCATGTGCTGATCATGGAGACCCAGCCCTGCTGTCCTCCTAGCAAACTTGGTTGGGAAACTACACATCGTTTTGCACAGAATGAATGAGTAGGCTATAGTTGTGCCTAGAACTCTTTTTTTTTTTTTTGCCTTATTTTCATTTTCCAGTAATTCTAGGACACACCAATATGCAATCTTTTCTCATTTTCTTTTATCAGAAACCATAAAATCCTAAAAAAAAAACCAGATGTCTTGGAATATATGTTTTATTTAAATAGAAGGTTCAATTTTGCAACAGAAAATGCATTAATTACTTTAAAAGTTACCCATTGGAAGTCATATTGTTTTCCATGAAATAAAAAGATGTGTCCATTAGGAAACAAGATAATCCCTAATTATCTCCAAAATACTCAACTCCCAAGATGAGAAGGTGGTAAATACATCGAATAAGCCAAAGAACTAGAGCATATCAGTACCAAATTTAGAAATGATCTTGAATCTACTACTGATTGATTCTATTTTGGTCTGAACCAAGTTTCAAATTTATATTTTTTGATACTATTGTGTTTGTAATATAAAAAATTGGCCATTAAAATATGAGAACTACAACAGTAGGACACAGAGGCCAGGGAAGCAAACTAACAGTTTTCATCCTCATCATTCAGGCCTTCCCTGGCATGCTAAATTGGGTTGGGGACCCCACTCTCTCACCAAGGTGGTGAGGGTCACATAGGAAAGAATGGAATTGGGGATGTTTTGGTCCAGGGACAAGCTTCAAGATGACTTTTCAGTTGCTTTGATTATTAGAAGGGCTGGCAAGGTGAAGAATCTAGAAAGCAGAACAAGGATGAATGTCTTCACTCACAAGGAGACTCATTTCAGCTACCACATAGGAAATACTTTCTAATAATTAGAGCTCTCTGAATAATAAGAGTGATCCAAAACAGGACTGAGTTGTCTCAACAGACAGAGGCATTGGGGAACATTCGCACAAAGTGGAGTTGCCTTCCTAGAGGATGTCACAGGAAATTCAGACTAGTGTCTGGTCTGAATGGAGGCTGGTGGGGGGAAAGAGGTGGGATAAAGGCACCACAGTTCCTTATAACCCAAAGATTTCTAGATTCTCTACTTTACTCTGAGAGAAACTTCCTTTATGTTTGTGCTGTGGGTAGAATCACTGACATGGAAAGTCAAGACTCACCTGCGATAATGGCACTGGTTGTAAAGAAAATGTGGTTAACTGGAACCACCATTGTTGTAGTGTAGAGTTTCGTGGCTTGATTCAGGAACCTAGAGCAGAAAGCACTTACTGAAGCTTGGGCTTAGAGACACTCAGCAGTAAGTTAAGAGTAACTTCAAGAAATGCATGTTCCTTTGCTCCAACTACAAAGGGAAAGGAAGTGCAGCGAGAGGGCATTTCCAATCAGCAGTCATAGCTTATATGCATCTGATGTATGAGATCAGATGTCAAGTTTTATGGTCTGTTTAAACCAACAACAGTAACAATGAAAAGCAATTAATCATATTCCGAGGCCACAGAAGTTTGAGTTGGAAGCAATTCAAGCTGCTGGACCAGTATCACACTGGGGCTGATTCATTAGGATAGACCTAGAATCTGTTAAATATCATATCTTGGGAATAGTATAGCTATCCATTGACATGCCACGTGCCAAGAAAGAAGATGGAGAAGCAAAGGAATGTTTAATGTTTCAAAAACAATGCCCTGTGCTCCAGCTGCAGTGCACATGTGGGAGTTGAGCTTCTCACTTTGGCCACCAACAGGAATTCAGGTTTCCACACTGTGCTGTGTGGCTCTGTCAAGGATTAGACAGTTTCTAAAGCAGTGAATTGCATGGCTATCACCTGTGCACTCTTAAAAGCCAATGCCTATGTTCTACCCTAGAGCAGGTAAAAAAAAAAATCTTTTGTGTGGAGCCAAGGTATATGTGTGTATATATACATGTATGTAGGGATACATAATGCAGGGATATATATATATATATATATATATATATATATATATAGGTTTTTTTTTCATATATATGTCCAAACTAACCTCCTCAAGTAATTTTAATGGGCAACCAGGACTGAGGGACCACAGTTCCACAGTGTGATAAGTGCAGGGACTGAGACAAGGCTGACAGGATGCAGTCTACCATCGATCATGTCTTCTTTTTAAATTCACGAAGCACAGTGTAAGGATAATGACACTAATTGCTAAGTCCCCAAAGATTCTGTAGCGGTACTGATTAATTTAGGAGAGGAAGAAACAAAGTAGCAAGAATCAAGTATTATAAGCACATCCAGTCTTAGGAGAAAGTGACAACAGTGACAAAACACTGGGTTTCTCCTGTAATACTTCAGAGGGGGGGAGGGGGGGGGGGGGGGGGGGGGAGGGGGGGGGGGGGGGGGGGGGGGGGGGGGGGGGGGTGGGGGGGGGAGGGGGGGGGGGGGGGGGGGGGGGGGGGGGGGGGGGGGGGGGGGGGGGGGGGGGGGGGGGGGGGGGGGGGGGGGGGGGGGGGGGGGGGGGGGGGGGGGGGGGGGGGGGGGGGGGGGGGGGGGGGGGGGGGGGGGGGGGGGGGGGGGGGGGGGGGGGGGGGGGGGGGGGGGGGGGGGGGGGGGGGGGGGGGGGGGGGGGGGGGGGGGGGGGGGGGGGGGGGGGGGGGGGGGGGGGGGGGGGGGGGGGGGGGGGGGGGGGGGGGGGGGGGGGGGGGGGGGGGGGGGGGGGGGGGGGGGGGGGGGGGGGGGGGGGGGGGGGGGGGGGGGGGGGGGGGGGGGGGGGGGGGGGGGGGGGGGGGGGGGGGGGGGGGGGGGGGGGGGGGGGGGGGGGGGGGGGGGGGGGGGGGGGGGGGGGGGGGGGGGGGGGGGGGGGGGGGGGGGGGGGGGGGGGGGGGGGGGGGGGGGGGGGGGGGGGGGGGGGGGGGGGGGGGGGGGGGGGGGGGGGGGGGGGGGGGGGGGGGGGGGGGGGGGGGGGGGGGGGGGGGGGGGGGGGGGGGGGGGGGGGGGGGGGGGGGGGGGGGGGGGGGGGGGGGGGGGGGGGGGGGGGGGGGGGGGGGGGGGGGGGGGGGGGGGGGGGGGGGGGGGGGGGGGGGGGGGGGGGGGGGGGGGGGGGGGGGGGGGGGGGGGGGGGGGGGGGGGGGGGGGGGGGGGGGGGGGGGGGGGGGGGGGGGGGGGGGGGGGGGGGGGGGGGGGGGGGGGGGGGGGGGGGGGGGGGGGGGGGGGGGGGGGGGGGGGGGGGGGGGGGGGGGGGGGGGGGGGGGGGGGGGGGGGGGGGGGGGGGGGGGGGGGGGGGGGGGGGGGGGGGGGGGGGGGGGGGGGGGGGGGGGGGGGGGGGGGGGGGGGGGGGGGGGGGGGGGGGGGGGGGGGGGGGGGGGGGGGGGGGGGGGGGGGGGGGGGGGGGGGGGGGGGGGGGGGGGGGGGGGGGGGGGGGGGGGGGGGGGGGGGGGGGGGGGGGGGGGGGGGGGGGGGGGGGGGGGGGGGGGGGGGGGGGGGGGGGGGGGGGGGGGGGGGGGGGGGGGGGGGGGGGGGGGGGGGGGGGGGGGGGGGGGGGGGGGGGGGGGGGGGGGAGGGGGGGGGGGGGGGGGGGGGGGGGACCTTTGCCCTACCTGTTGAAAGGATGCTGCAGAGATTATAATTGCTCGTGGGTGGAAGGCAATAAGACAAGTCTGACTGTCCATGAGGCATTGTGGGGAAATAGCTACTGAACTATTCTGAAAAGTTTAAAGCTAAATAAGTGAGAAGATTGGAAAGGGAAAGCTAATCGCTCCTTGAGCTTACCAAGAGTTGTGCTAAATCTGTGTGTGAGGCTTTTTGTTAGTAGATGCCTAGAAGTTTCTTTAAAAATACTTTTTGACAAAGACCATAATGAGAAGCAGGATCAGAGGTGAATATTCATTTCTCAAAGTGAACTACAAATCTAAGATATACATAAGCAATAGCTGTTGATTTCTGTGCTAATGAGGGACCCACCCCTTATGAGAACAGTTTTTTCACAGGTTCCAAATAGCAATTCAGAAAATGGACTTGATAAGGTTATATCGCAGTGAAAGCAATGTGTATTTTCTTCTCACATTTCTGTAGGAAGAATACAATGCTTTCTATCTGTCTCAGGACTCTTGAAGTTATGTTGCAAACAATTCCACAGTTTAGCTAAAACCCCACAGAAAGTTCACAAATAATTTTTACATGACATCAAATAATTGTAAGTCAAAGCCAATGTGAAGGAGACGTACTTCCTATGTTGCTGTTGGTCTACTTGAGTTTTTCCTTTTTAGTTTTATATGCACATATTAAGGAATAGTATAATATATAAAATATATAAATAAAAATATATAAATAACATGTTTAAAATAGGTAAAGGCCAACTAGAAAGAACCTCCCAATAAATTCCTTGTCCCAAACCTGAAAATGTACTTTAACTTAAAAGGTACTAGGGCACGTTTCCAAATCAGGCATTTTCTTTTAGTTAAAAATCATAATTGCCAGAGGAAACCAGGTGACACATTTTAAAAATGAATCCTCAGACTGAACAAAGAGACTCTTACAAATTTAAGTTTCTCTTTGAAGCCCCTTACAAATATAAAATGCTCCACCTTAAAATGTCTTTTGACCTGGTCTTTTTACATATTTCAGATGTCATGTCTGACTGATTATGACAGCAGTCATATCTTAGCTAATCTAGGAATTTCAAATATCTACAGAGATGTGTGTATTGCTTGATGGCTTAAGTTTATAGGTCAGCTCTTCAGGGACACTGATTTCCTCCTAAAATACTATGTTTGAAATTGGAGCACAATGTGGTTACAGTCTTGTGGTCTAAACAGCCAAGCCTCCCAAAGGGATAATTAATGGAGAAGGGGTTGAACACACTGTTCCATTAGCCCCAGAACCCCAGGATTGCAGAGGACCTTAAAGGTCATCTAATTAACTACTATCTGATTTTAAATTGTACTTAAATACAAAACAAAAACAAAATTAGAATTCTTCATTGAACTAGTAAATAAACTATCAATTTCTATAGTTAATGATTAGATTTTCAAAGCATGCACCATCACCAACTGGTTAATCACTATTTATTGTAACTTTTAAGTTATTTCTAGGTTGGTGCTGAGTACTTTGAAGTCTTTTTTTTAGGGGCGTGGGGATGGCTGATGAGGATAGGTAGAAATTCAAAACTGTAATGTGGTATCATTCTAATGTTATATATATAAAAATAGTACTTAGGCATTCATAGGAAAAAGCTAGACTAAACTACATTAAGATACTGTCAGTTTTGTTATATATGCTACTAGAAATATGAATAAACTTCAAGTTGATTTAAAAAAATCTTTGAAAGTACATATGCTCCTTTTTAAAAAATGGAAAATGCAGAAAAGCCTGGAAAGAAAAATTAAAATCATTTGTAATCTCAACACTCCCCAATTTTTTTTTTAACATTTGGGCACACATTGTTTCTCTATTGTAAGAGGGAATGTTACCACAACACGTGAATCATATCGTATACGCTATTAGGAACCTATTTTCATTACCGTTAAGTATTTTCTATGCCATGAAGTATTGTTCTAAAGCTTGACATTTATTGGCTGTAAAGAATGCCTTTGTAAGAATGCAAACTTGTTTTGACAAGTTCCTATTTTTAGACACTTAAATTGAATCTATTTTTTCTTACAATTAAAAAGGAGGCTGCAGTGAATATTCTTGAACATAAATCTGTCTATCATTCTGCCTATTTCCTTTGGAAAACTACCTGGAGGGGAATTACTGTGTTGACAGCCACTGTGAGGGCTTCTGAAATACCCTGGCAAACAGCCTTCCAGGGAATGCCAGTCACACTGTCATACTGTTACAGTGCTCCAGGATACAGGTTTTTGTAGTTTCCTTTGTACCTTTCTCTATTTTCTTAATAAGCAACAATAAACATATTCTTTTCATTGTTACAATGCCACTTTTCCCCCCAACATATTGTTGACTCCATTTTTGAAATTTGACTCTCAGTTTATTTTTAGTTCTTCATCCCAAAGATTTCCTTGACGGCTAGATCCTAGATCAATGTCTCCTGATCAGCGCCATTAATATTTCATTGTTAATTTTGCTTTGACAGCCAGTGTGCTACGGTTGGATCAGGATTTCCTAGCCTTCCCAGCTTTCTGATCCCTGAAAAAGACTGTGTGTAGATAGAGGCTTTGGATTCTTTTAAAGAAAGACTGTCATTAACTATATTCACCACACTGTGCAATAGTATTCACAAATAGAAAACAAAAACAGGCCACCATATTTCTCCTGTCTGAGATTCTGTTGACATTTAAAAATTGCTAAGGAAGTAAATTTCAAATGGTCTCATCACAAAAAATGGTATTTGAGGTGATGGATATGTTAACTAGCTTGATTTAATTATTCCAATGGTCATCATAATCATAACATTATTTTGTATCTCTGTACATTTCTACAATTTCAAATTGTCAATTTACAATTAAAAATATAAATGTATAAAAGAAAGGAGATCACAGTCACGGGCAAAGGAAACCACACACCCAAAGTCAGATTTCCTTCCTTCTGATGCCCTCACTTTTTATTTCTTTTTTTAGCTCCATTTTTTCATCTAGCACAAATCAGTATTACAGCAGCAATAAAGACAACATCACACCCACGTGCTTCCACTCCTTCTCATTCATTTCTGGTTTTGCCTCACTTGCGCTTTCAATCACAATGAAGGTAAATATGTTGTATGTAACACTATAAATATTTTTCAAAGCTGCAACGTGACTTTCAGCGCTATTTTTTTTTCTTGTAAATGCCACTAATGATCATTGTAAAATACTCAAACAGCAAGATGAACACAGTGATGGTTCTTATTTCTTACAGCAATAAGAACACTTCTAGTATTCACCATCAAGTTCTTTATGGAATGAATATTAAACTTTAACAAGCCTTTTCAGCATCTGTTGAGATAATCACATGTGATTTCATTTTTACAGTTTTATTAGAACATCATTAGAAAATGAAATTGTGTAAGTTTAAGGTGTACAACATGACAATTTGATATATACATGTATTAGAAAATGATTACCATACTTAGGTTGGTAAATACATCCATCACCTCTAACATAGTTTTGGTTTTCTCATGTGTGTAGTGAGAACATTTAATATCTATTCTCAGCAAATTGTGAGCATTCAATACAGTATTAGGTGACCATAGTCACCTTTTTGTATATTAGATTCCCAGAACATAATTATCTTATGACTGAAAGTTTGTACCACTTGATGACTATCTTAATATTTCTCCTTTGACTCATTCACATGAACCATATTAATTCTTTTTAAAAAAATATATTTTTATCAAATATATTTTTTTAAATTATGAACTATTTAGTACACAGAAAAAGCACAGAAAGTAAGAAAATAATCTAACAGACACTGATTACACTTGACAAAAATTAGAAAGCTATTAACCTTTTGTCATGTTTGCAAAAAAAAAAAAAAAGAGAGAAAAAAAGGAAAGAAACACATTTAACCTAATTTCTACCCTCCCCTTTTTCAAAGGTGTAACACTTATGTTGTGTATTTAAAAAATTACCACAAATGATATCAAAGTGGGCATATTCTTTTGCTAGATTCTTTTTTTCAGCCTCTATTTCATTTTGGGGCATTTATCTCTGGTGATATATTTTGATTTAGCTTATTAATTTTAAATGACAATATTGTGTCATTTAACCTCTGTCATCAGATTTTCTGGGTTCAAAATCTGAGTTTACTAATTAAGTATGTGACCTTGGGAATTTACATAATCTCTTTGGGTCTCGATTTTCTCATAATAAAATGGGAATAATAATAATAATACTAGCATCACCGAGTTGTATGAAGGTTAAAGTAGATAAGGCATCTAGACTGTACAGAATAACGGATTTATTTGCTGTGGTTGCCATCACAAGTTAATACCAACCTGGTGGCTTAACACAACAGGCATTTATTTTCTCACAGTTGTGGAGTGAAAATTACAACTTTTACAAAGAGTTTTCTCTAACCATATTAATTCTTAAACCTATTTGATTTCTTAAAGAACCATTCTTTAATAATATTTATTGTGTGCTCTCTATGCTTCTAGGTAAAGTATATGCAGTATAAATCACTGTGTGTGTCTTCATGGGATTAATCTGGCAAGAAGACAAGTTTATAACAATAACAATTTTTGTGGCCAATTATGTAATATAGTCTTGTAAATGATACACAGCACCAGAAAGAAGGTGTGGAATGTAAGTACAAATTGTTATAAGTGTTACAAAGAAAAAGATCCAGTTTCATTAAGATCACTTGCTCATGAAGCATGATTTGCTCTGAATTCTATTTGCTAATATTTCCTTTGGGATTTTTTACATCAATATTTGGCAGTGAAATTAGTTCATAGTGTCCTATATTTGTGCTATCTTTTTCAAATTTGGGATCAGTATTATCTGATTATGTTTTAAAAAAATGAAAGCTTTCTTCTAATGTCCTCAAATACTTCCAACATTATCAGAATAATCTGTTCCTTAGTAGTCTGAAGATAGTACCTTGGAACTGTCTAGGCCTTGTTCTTTTTTAGGATATAGCTTTTTAACAACTCCTTTATTTCTTCCATAGTTAGCATCCTTTAAAAATAAGTAGTTTGTTTAAATTTTATATAAGTAAAAATAGGTAATTTACTTGTTTTATTAAATATGTGTGTATATATATATATTTGTACATCTATCTTTCTACTCATAGCTCTCATTTCTAGCTTGGAGTACCTGTGTTTTTATTTCTTTTCTGACGGAAGGCCTATTTTTATTAGTCATCTTTTAAGAACTGATTCTTGACTTTAGTTATCAATCCATTGCTTTTATGTTTTCTGTTGCATTAATTTTTGCTTTTATCTTTATTTTTTGCTCCATTCTTCCTTCCTTAGTTTATCTTCTGACTTCTTGAGCTGAGTGATTTGAATGCACTTAAAGCAATCAGTTTCTTCTGAATATACCATTAGTCGTAGCTAGAGGTTTTAATGTTTTCACAATAATTTGAGAAGTATGTGCTACAATTAAATCTTGCTTTCCACTTCATCCAGCTGCACTTTAAAAGCGCTGTTAACATTTCCAGGTGGGAGGATTTTGCTGGTTTCTATTTTTGTTATTATTTTCTGTTTTTATTTCACTGTGTTCTGCTAATGTGCCTGTACTATTTCAACTGCCTGGAATTTATCAAGTATTTTTTGTAGCTAATTGTAAAACCAACTTTTGTAAATGATACACAGCACTGGAAAGAAGGTGTACTCTCTATTGTCAAGATTCAGAGTTCAATATTAGAGGGACTAGTTCAACATTAAGTATTCATTTCCTCTCTCTTAACATATTTAAATGTCTGCCTGTCTTCCATGAACTGAGAAAAGTTTCCCACTCCCTTCATACTTCTATTAATGTAGTTTGCATCTTTCTGCAGTTTTTCCATAGCATACTAGACATCATGTTCTCCTGGAATGAACTCTTTTTAATTAGGATAAATTATACAACTTTGTCACATTTAATGTTTTCTGTCTGTCTTGGTTTTAATTTAGTGATTATCATGATCCCTGCATTCCTCTTTCAGCTCGAGGTACCTCGTTTTAGGTAAACTTGATGTACATAGCAAAGCATTTCACATCCCGCAGCAAAGTCCAAATAAAAAGGATGCAGGAACTGGAGACCACTGTATAATACTCAGTGCTGATCTGGCTGGGGAGGGGGTGTCAAGGGAGGGGCATCAGGGAAGGCATTAACAGGGTAGGAGGGGGCTACCAGAAGGAGGGAGCTCAATGACTTTCACAGAGCTGTACCCACGCAAATGGGCTGAATCCAACTTTAAGAACTTTTCTCAAAATCACTTTGACTCATAAGTGGTACGTATGATCTTAATTCTGTTATCTTATGTTCCTATTTATAGTATGCTTTACTTTCAATATTTTTCTATAAAATGTACATTTTGTTGTTTGCTTTTGTTCTATCTGGTAACTTGGAAGAAAAGTAAATAGAAAGTTCCGTCTGTTCTCTTGCTGAATATAGTGTAGAGTTCCTTTGTTTCTAAAAGTAATTGTCACACACACAACTCCTTCAAGGTAAAGGAGAGAAGTAGTTAATGAGATGGAAAAATACGCCCCCCCCCCCAGCACCTGATTACCATGCGGCTGCAGTGTGCACAAGTGCAACCTACAAATTCATAGCAAGCAGCACCTGATGTGTGTGTCATCTTGTTGTATATATATAAAACCTAGGTACTGCCAAAAAAAAAAAAAATGGAAAGGAAATGGGATAGGTCTTGTTAACTAATTCCTGACCTGAAAGTTTTAATTGGATTCATTAGTTTGTCTGTTTAATATTTAATTATTTTCTTTAAAAATTCCTCAAAATTTTAGGAAGTAAATGAAATTACCAGGAAGTAAAAAACCCTAAATACATTAAAAAGAATTAAATGTTTTATCAAATGAACAATGGACATGCAAAATATAATGTGTACAATTTAGACTTAGTTTCTTTCTATAGGTTAGAATTGAAAAATAGAAAAGTAGAAAAAGAACAGAAGTCTCAGATATTTTCCTTTCAGCCTCCTTTGTGACGCAGCATGACTCATTTGAGAGTAAGAATACAAAGTCGGGCCTTACCTAGAAGTGCCACCAGCATCAGCAGAATCACAATGTGCTTCATTCCTTTTCTTTTGTGGAAATATAGGAGGATGCAGAAAATTAGTATTTCTAAAATCTATAAATGAAAAAGGATAAGTTATTCTACACAGAGTCTTCAAAATGTCATGCTTTGATTTTGCAGCAGTTTTCATGAGAACTGAGGGGGCTGAGGTTCATGGGACTGATTATAAACACAGGGAACAACATGAGGAGCCTTGGCCAACCCGACCCAGAGTTTCCGTACCACCTACCATCAGTGATGCCCAAAGCCAGCTTTCCAGGCCTGGCTTCCCTGTGACCTCAGTCTCATTTACCCAACTCTCTCCTAGACATGTCTTCGTGCATGTTCAATAGACATGACACAGTAACAAGGGCAACACTCAACTGTTTTTTTTTGAGACAGAGTCTCACTGTGTAGCCTAGGCTAACCTCAAATTCACAATCACCTGCTTCAGCTGAGATTACAGGTGTACACCATCATACCTGGATCAACAATTAAATCTTTTTTCTAAAAAATAACATTAATTTTATATTTGAGATGCAATTAAAAATTGACCTTTGCACTTGTAGAGAAAAAAAAGAATTTATCACTCATGTAAACTAATTAATACACATGAACAAAAAATTCACATAAAATGGTCAACACTTAACTCTTTCCAGCTTGCTCTGCCTGGAGCCTTGGCCACTCACTGAATAGCCTCACCATGTGCCTGTTGCACAAGCCTGAAGCTCCTCCCTCCCTTCCCCCTCTGCCACCCTCTCTGGCGACAGCAGTCATCTTCTGATTTGTCTCTCAGTTTTCTCTTGCCTCCCAACAATCCAGCCAACTGGCAGCCTGAAGAATCATTTAAAAATACAACTGGGATAATGAAATATTTCATCTGTAGAGAAGAGTATTTGTGGTATGCATGGCAAATTTACAGTACTATGACAACTACTCACGTGCCTGCTGTCTAACCTAAGAAAGGACGTTTTTTGGTGCCTCTCCCCAGCTGCCCTCTCCAGGAACTGCTACACTGAATTTCTGGTTTACCATTCACTTTCTCTCTAGTTTATCACATTTTTACATATTCCCAAATAACACTGCTTATTTCTGCCTATGTCTGAATTTTATCCAAATGGAATAATTTCTCCTTTCATTTGCTTGCTTTTTTCACACTGACAAGATTCATCCAGGATTCGACAGGTAGGGAAATATAAATCCCATCTAGTCATTCCTTTGCTACAGCCTCCTTTGGTTTCTTATCCCATTAAAATCCAAACTTTCTCCTGGGGCTGGCAGAATGGCTCAGGTGATAGAGCACCTGCCTTGCAAGCTTGAGGCTCAGAGTTCAAATCCCAGTACCATAAAAAAACAAAAACAAACCAAATTCTCTCCTGGATTACAAAGCCCCAGCTAACTTCTTGGATCTTATTTTTTATCACTAGCTCTGTGTCAGCCATGATGGCTTTTTTTTTTCTTTCCTCTTCTTTTCCCCTCCCTATTTTTCTCCCTTCCTTTTTCTTCATTGTAATCCTTAGATTGCTCCTGCCTTTACACTAACTGTGCTCTTTGATCTTTGCACAGTGGCTCCTTCAGTTCTTACGGGAAGGTTACCTCCTTTGAGAAGTCTTTCCTGACTACTCTGAGCTAAGAGTTACTGGGTTGTCCTATCACTCCAGGCTTTGGGTATGTTTCTTGTTCATATACTATGTGTTTCTTATTTGTCTCCTCAACTAGAATGAATGCCAGCCTGATGAAAACAGGGACCTTATCTGTTCTGTTTGCCACTCTATCTCCAGTCCTTGGTGCACAATTTATCACTCAGTAAATATTTATGGAATTAGTAAGCAAACTACATCTTAAATTTATTATGAGCAGCTTGCCAAGTGAAGAGATGTAATGTTTAACAAATTGAATGTTTAATAAATAGCAATTGACTAAAAGTAAGAAAACTCTAAGTAAGAAATCTCTAGTGTAATTTTGAATTCTCAGTTATATTTTTATTTTAACATTAAAATTTTTTTTTGCTACCCTTAAGATAACTTTAAACTATTATTGCATTTTGATAACAGGTGGTATCACTGGACTAGAATTATAAATTTGAAGGTTTATTTTTCTGAGATCAAACAAGTAAAAGTACTGCTTGCAATTTTTTCTTAAAAATCACTGGAATTAGGACTTCAGGATTTCCAACATGGTGTTTTACTTACAGAGAGTCTTCTCTGAGTCAACTTAAATTTCTGTTTCAAGTCAAGGTTTTTCTTGTTGGTTTGTGTTTTCCTTTAATCCTCAGTGGGCCTGGGAAGCAGCAGGATGTATCCTTCTCATTTAAAAAGCTTTTCATCTAGTATGGAAAATTAAATCATCCTTTGGACTTCTCCTGGTAAATTAAACCAATTATCTTCACTTTTCCTTATATGACTTATTTGCCAGGCCTTTAATTTAATTGAATCATGCTACAAAAACTATTAAAGTGTTTCTCTGCCTCCTCTAAAGCTGCCATTAAAACACTGGTGTCCCTATCTTGGTATATGTCACTCATGGTTAACAGGAAGACCCTCTCGGCCTGGTGTCCCCAGCAGAGGCCTGCATTTCTCATCCGATGCAGGCATGGACAGCGTGCAGCAGCACTGTGTTCTCTGCTGGAGGCCAGAAACCCCTCCTGCCCCGACTTACAGAGCACGCTAGCTACACCTGTCTGCACGTTGACAGTTAATTCTTTTGGGGGAAGAGGGTAGTTGTTATCAGTTCTAAAAACCATGTGGGACTTTTTTTTTTTTTCCTTCAAACTCCATCCCTGTGGCTTCAGATACATAAAACATGAGTTCTCACTATACACAGAATGGCTATAGTTATGCTGGATTCCACCTGTGCCAAAAGGTCATACAGAGCCCAGGAATAAAATATTCAAGCAGAATGAATTAATATTGATTCCTTTTCACAACATTTTTTCTCTCAGAAAATATCGATGTTATAGAAGCTGTGAGTTTGCAAGTTGCTGTGCTCCTTGCAGGCAGCTGTCTGTGAGGTCAGGAATGACAGCTTTTACTGTCACATCTCTACTGTACTAATCCACTAATCCTCAAACCATTTTAGCAGGCAAGTGCTAGCTACCTGTATTTAGGTAAGAAACCGAGGATTAGGGGGTTAAATGATTCAGGCCTAGTAGGCAGCATAATGGCCCCAAAAGAGGTCCATGTCCCCAACTTCCAGAGCATGTGACTATGCTATTCCACATGACAAAGGGGCTTTGCAGATGTGATTACGCCTATGGACTTGACCTGGACCTGGATGATTCAAGGGGGCTTAGTGCAATCACAAAAGTTCTTTGAATCACAGAACCTTCCCAGCTGTGGTCAGAAAGCTGCAACATGGGAAAGATGCTAGCCAAGGAACGCTAGTGACCTCTAAGGGCTGGGAAAGGCAAGGAGACAGATTCTTCCCTGAGGTTCTAGCAAGGAGCACAGCCTGCCAAGAGCCAGTCCAGAGAGTCCTGGGTGGGACTTCTGACCCAGAAAATGATATGATAATAAATTTACGTTGTTTTAAACCACCAAGTTTGTGAGAATTTGTTACAGAAGTAATACAAAGCAAATCCAGGTTTTAGTACTTGAAGTCTTTCCAGAAGAACAGAATCTTCAGGATGAGCTTTCTGAATTGGTTCTGGGTTTTGGGTTTTCTGGATTGGTTCTCTAACCTATTTAGACTTAACTGCCCTGTTTTCAGAGTTATAAAGGGCACTGACAGTCCAGGGATGATGTGGCAAAAGAGACACACGAAAAGAGGCCCTGCTTCCAGTGCCCAAAGCCGAGCCCGAGTCTCACCAGGTTTTATCTTGAAAGTGCAGCCTTGGAAATGGCTTCTTTGTCCAAAAGCTTTGCAATTCTCTCAGTTGTCAAATTGGGACAACGGTTCGCTCCTTGGTAGTCAGTTTTATTGAGTCTGCATGGAGGGGGTTCAGGGAAGTATGCCCCTCGGAGAAGGACAGCCTAGTTTTGCATTCCGCCTCTCCCACTTCGTATTTCCGTGACCTTGGGCAAGTTGCTGGACCTCTGTAAGACTTAGCTTCCAGCCTGTGAGATGAAGAGGATGACGGTGCCCCACGTCCAAGTTGTGCAAGTAAAGCACAGAATGCAGTGGGAACTCTACACAGGGCTGAGCTGCAGGCACACAAGTGGTGTTTGCCTCCAGACAAGAAACCAAAGGTCCATTACAAAAGAGACCTTGATGTTTTGTAAAAACATACAGTTTTCTCCCTTTAGGTTCTTAGCACCTGATGGTGGTTTTGGAAGCTGCTTTGCCAGAAGGGCAGACTTAATAATCAGCTTTGGGGTATAGAATGGCTCCAAATGACAGGCTTGGTCTCTGCTGCTGCTGATTTAATTTTTTGCCTGGAGGAGAGAAAATGACCACTGAGTGGATTATTTTGTGAAGGATTTTATATTTGCAAAACAGGTTTCAATGTGAATAGGCTATTGGAAAATCTGGGTGGGCAAAAGGGCCACAAAGAAGCCCGCTTAGAACATGAAGTAACTGAGGCTCAGAACTGTGTTTTCTCACACGGCTCTGCAGAACACCCTAACTGGTATTACTAAGCAGAAGTCCTTTGAGAAAAGGACCTGTTGGTCAAGTAAGCTGAGGCACAGAGGAACAACAAAATGGAACACATCTCTTTTCTCTGGGCTCGAGGTTATAACCTGCTGACAGAGATGATGGAGTCCTCATGTTATGCAGTATCTCTCCCACTAGTTTGACCTGGATACCCCACTCAGTTTTGACTTTTGACCTTGACACCCCACTCAGTTTTGACTTTTGGCATCTGTGCCAGAGAAGTCTGAAGAAGCTGTGTTATGGGGTCAGTGAAGGGTACTTCATTCCTCCCCAGCTGGTAGAATCTGGGTTTCTCAAGTCCTCTTCTGCAAAAAAGTACCAGAACAGAGGACGAGCTCCTGGCCTTGCACTGTCAGCCCTCCACTTGAAGGAAACGTTGAAGGAAAAACAGACATCTAGCTAGTCCACAAACAAGGGACAGGTGCGATATGATCAAGTCTGGGGTACAATTTTATAATTCCTTTTTGGAAATATAAAAACCTATTAAGGCTTTTAAATATTTTTATTCGTTTTATGTTATTTGCTCAATCCTGAAAGGCAATTCAAGTACTGTATTTATATTCGGTATAATACATAAACAGAGGAATTATTTGCCAAAGAATAGTCTTAATTAGTGTAATTATGATTATTGCAGCCATACTTTGCAGAAGCACAGAATCTGCCACATCTAAAGACTAAATGTTGATTACTTAGATGTTTAACAGATTTAAAACAAACTTCAACTCAAGATCTTAGAATGTAATTGTTCACTCTGAGTCTTTAGAGATGCAATTATATAATGGATTAAATTCCAAAATAATATAACTTGATCTATTCCTCTAGAATATAATGCCAACAGCACTGTTTACATGTGACTTTATTAAAGACTTCTTTTATGCTGTCTTATATATACTTAGAATTAGTTACATTTTCTGTGTGTCATTTGCTTTCAAATATACTTTCATTATCATAATATGATTTTACAGGAGCATAGAACTGTAAACATTTCTGCTACAGGAATTCCTCTCTATAACCTCAGTGCCTAACCAGCTGAATGGATGACTGAATAAATGAATTAATGAATTTAAAGTTGATTTAGGAAAAAGAAGTTTGTGTACTGGGATGTAGCTCAGTGACAGAACACTTACTTAGCGTGTTCAAGGCTCTGGGTTCAAACCCCGGTACTGACTGCAAAATATAGTAGTTTTGCTGTTTTCTATGGTGTTAAAACAGTGCAAGTTACATCATCATCAAACAATGCAGTTTATTCCAGGAAATAAGACTTGATGCATTTTTAATCTCCAAAGGATTCAACTCAGGCTATTAATTTTCTGGTCATAGGCTATGTAACTCTTTTCTTACTGCATGAAGAATTTGTTTTGCCTGTAGGCAAAAAGTAGTAATGTGTTGGTAGGACTTCAAGTCTGGACTATCATGAAATATTCAACAAAGTATAACGAGAAGAAGTAAATCACAAAGATGAAAACTCTCTCTCATGCTTACAGTTGATCAATGAAAGCTGTTAGGGACTGAGTATAGTGGGAAAGTAGGAAAATAAATGTGGCAGGGGGAAGACAGAGTATGAAAGACCCTAGGAAGGCTAATCTGAGTGGGGGAAGCCCAATCCTAAAAGTCGAGGTGGCAGGGAGGAAGGAAGGGGCTAGGGAAGACTCAGGAAGTGACAGAACTGGTATGGATACAAAGTCCATGAGAATGAAAACCAGGCCAATATCAGGGACAGGTGTTTCAATAGGTAGGGTGTTGACTGATGGTTCATCAAGCAAGGAGTGAGTGAGAGCTGAGGAAGTGGAAGGGACCAGCAAGAGTGGTCCACTTGAATACATTTTTGGTGATGAATGGAAGAAGATAAATGGGACAGTTTATTAAAGGGTGCATAGGATATGAGGATTTTTTTTTCTTTGGTAGCACTGAGTATTGAACTTGCTTTCTAGGCAAGTGTTCTACCACTTTAGCCACACCCCAGTCCCAGGAAATTTTTTTAAACAGGAAAAACCTATCTTGGGGTAAGAGAAAGGAGTAAAGGGGAGAAAAGATCTGCTAACATTTGTGTTCCAGTGATCTTAACTTTATGTCAGAGATGGCAAGACACACAGAATTCTTGTTACACATACTATCCAAGTTACATTTAGAGCAAAAGTTCACCAGTAAACATGTTCCCAGGCATACCAAAATCATGTTTTTAAATACTAGACATATAAAGTAGGATTATAAACTGGGCATGGTGGCTCACACCTGTAATTCTAGCCATGTGGGAGGCAGAGTTCAGAAGGATCGTGGTTTGAGGTAAATCCAGGCAAAAAATTGGCAAGACCTCCTCTCAACCAATATGCTGGGCATGGTGGCATGCACTTGTCCTTCCAGCTACTCTGGAGGTGTACATAGGAGGATAATGATCTAGGCATGCCTGTTCAAAAACATGAGACCTTAATTTGAAAAATAACTAAAGCAAAAAAAAAAAAAAAAAGGATAAGGAAAGAAAAGGTTTGAGGCATGGCTCAAGCAGAGGCAAATGGAGGCCCTGAGTTCAAACCCCAGTAATACTAAAAAAAGTAGGATTATACTATATTTTGAGGTTATTTCTAATCCTAAAAAATGTATGCTTCTGTAGCTTTGATTCTTTTTATTTAGTTCACAGCTGTTTTGCCCATCTAGTTCTTCATTAAAGGCTTAGCTGGACTATCCTGGTTTTCTTTTTATTATTATCTGCCCTCTCTAGAATGTTCTTATTCTCTGTTCTTCACTGGATTCTGTAACAAGTTCACATCAACTATTTTGATCCTGTACTTTTTTTATACTCACCAGATATAGCCTTGGTATCAAATAAAACTTCCCATTAATAGCTTCAAATGTCTATATTAGCACATTTAATTCTTTTTTTTTTAATGTATCTCTCAGAATTGTACTACTGCCACCTGTTCCTCTTAATCTATTGTCTTCCTCTCAACAAGGACTTTTTAAGAGAGGCTTCTTCTGCTGACTTAGAATTTCAAAGACTTTGACATTGGTCAAATATTTTTACATTATAATAAGTGACTGTGCTGCGATGACAAGATTGCCTTGGCTTTATAACACCTGAAGATGCAGGTGGTCTTGATAATATATTTCAAGGATACATAGCAAAATATTTAGAATTCTTACCATGTAGAGCAGGAACTGCCAGCCAACAAAGTAATACTGTACTGTCCTTGCTGAGATAGCCTGAGTTATATTTGGAGCAAAGTTCACCAATAAATATATTCCTGCAAAGGCCAATGTTATACCTTTAAATAAAATGGGAAAGACAAACCAAGTTGAAAAGGGATACTCAAAGACTTGTTGACACAAATATCACCTAGAGACAGAGCATTACTTGTAAAAATGAAGATGGTCTCTCCCAATTAAGATATGATTCATTAAACCACTTCTAGCTAGTGTCATAGCCCTCAAAGGGAAGAATGGGACAGGATATAACTTCTGACTTTTCTCTGTTGTTCTAGGTGAATCCTGACCTCTGTCAGGGAAGCTTCCCCAAAGTTAGACAGACATGGGCATATGGAAATGTAAAAACACTTCCAAGCTTACTAATGGAGCTAGATGCATCCAGATCTAAATAGCAGAGTCCAGAAGACAGAGAAGTCTGTCAGACAATGATCTCCTCTGTACCTACTCATTTCTGGAGCCTCAATACTCAGGATATTCTACACTTTGAAACTCTGGAACTAAGTACCTTAATCAATGCCACTGAGTAGGGTCCTTATATCAGAAATGACAATAGTGACTGCTGACCTTGCTATGGGATTTTAATTAATCTAATCTAGGATCTAGAATTTCAAGGTTAGCTTAGTAAAGACAAACCACAGCACAAACCTAATGACTAGAATGTATTCCTGTCATCGTTTTAACCTTATTTAAAACCATGGAGGGAGGGGAATGTGGATGGGAGGATGGTCACCAAGGGAGGGGTGAAAGGAGGACTTGCCCTTGACTAACACTGAAAACTGTATATTAGAGGCTTGGGAAAAACCGATAGAAGTAGCATTTTTCAGCTAGCACACTTGAAAATGTAATTCAACTTGTTTCATCACTGAGATCAGTATTGTGGATATAATTTACAACAAGCACTGATTCCAATCTAAAAATATTTGGTTTGTCTATAAAATTTCACAGCACCATTTCCTATCCTCTTAACTACATGATTTAGGTTTTGAACTCTATTTTCTGAGAATAAAAACGGTGTTTGACTTTTCATGCAAATACCGATGCAGGGTATTACAGAAACTACAAATAAGTTTCTTCTTATCTATTCTGTAATACTTTGTAAAGACAAGGTTATATACATAGGTTTTAAAAGTTATTTCTAGTGAGAACTTTTAAAAAGAAAAACCATATACATTATTAAATACTGTAATAAAAGCAAAATAATAAAATCCATATATAGAAACTTGGGGGAAAGTTATTGTTCAGTCATGTCTTTTCGTTGAAAAAAAAAAAGCATATGTAAGGTACTTATTTCAAATTAGATTCCTGAAAGGAAGGGATATTTTTTTAAAACAGTTTTCAAATTTGGTATGGTACTGCAGCATAAATACATTGAATGTACTTTTTAAAATTAGTGTATTTACTTTCACAAAAGGGTTTCATTGTGATATTTGCACACATGCAACTTTGATCATATTTGCCCCTCTATTATTCTTTCTTTGTCCTTTTACCCTCTTCCTTTTCTTTTTTCTTTTGCAGTTTTCAATGTGCTATTTTTCATACATGTGTATAATGAACTTTGATCACTGAACATACTTTAAAAAGTCTCACAGACTTCCAACTGTTTCTTTTGTGAAACCTGAATTTCTTACTAATATTAAGTTCCTTTACTAGATTTTCTTCATCTCAGCTAACAGGACCCAGTATCAATTAACTTTCCGGTGTTTTAGTTTCTTTTTGAATTGGTAACAGGAATGTGGAACAAAATTCCAGGGACACACAAGTGGTGAGTGAAAAGTCAAGTCTCTCTCACACCCCGAGGGCCACCAGTTCTTCCACCCAAACGTCACCACCACTTGCTCCTAAGGTTTTTGTTTCAGACATGTTTTGTGCATGTGCGTGAGTGTATGAGTTTTGTTTTGTTACATAAAAAACTGCATATGAGATACGCACTTTTGTGTTTTGCTTTTTTTCAACTTTATGAACATCATGGAGGTCCCATTCTTTAAGTCTCCATAGTATTCCATTGTGTACATAGTATTATTTATTTAACTTTCAGTATTGTCCCTGTTTCATATCTGCCTCCACGTTTGCCTTTTGTGCTCATCTCTGTCAATGTACATCTTCATTGCATTCCAAAACTATAAGTAAATAAAATGCCTAATGATTTTGTAATTATACTTTCAAAGTTCCTTTTCACATATTTTGTTTCATTTGAGCCTCACATCATTGTGAGTCTAGTAAGTAACTATGGCAGCTCACCCATTCTTTCTTCTTAATAATTTTAATTTCAACAATCGGTGGCAATTACAAAAGCAGTTCTGAATAGCTGATAGTTGTATACTTGTTGGTTTTATTTCATTTTTATATGATTTACTGACTCCCTTATGAGTCATGTGCATATTTTCATAAGTATTTAAAAGTGTTGAAGACAGTCCTTTGCACTTCATTAAAGTTCCTTAGACTTTATTCATATCCCACTTTTTCTAAAAGTAGCATGAGAAAAATAGAGAAAATTCCTGCTATTTTTATTTCAGCGAAGCTGTAACTATTCCTTCTTTAGGAAGATACAGAGTTATAACTTAGAAAACTTGCTAGTTTACCTTTTTTGGCCCAGTTATCCAAAGGAGTCATATGGACATGTAAGCTCCCAGGGAAGCAGGCAGCATACACATGCTCCCGCCCAGGGGGCTTCGTTAACATTTCTTATCAAGACTTGGATCTGCAAGTCTAAGCCAAGCTGAAACTGCCCTTGAGAAATTCAGACTGCACCGCTACTTGCTAGCTAGAAGAGCCAGGCAAGTTATAGATCTAGCCGTTACAATTCGTGAAGATACAAATTAAGTCATTATACTGTCTAACCCCAGGTATCTGGCTCAGTAAGAGACTAGTATGGGCAGATGAATATGCTTGGAGGGTCACCTAGACGCCGGATATGACAGACCACCTGGAGTAGATCCAGATCCAGCTCAGGATGCTGACTGCCAACCACGTGTCAAAGACCTCTAATAGGATAGTCCAGTGGTGATCAGGAACTGTCACGGGAAACAACAGCCCAATTTGACAATGGAAGGTATAGGCAGGAAGGAATTGGATGGGTCTTCTCGCTGCTTAGTGAGGACTTCTCCCCATTGGTTTTAAAAATAACCATAAGGGAATGACCTAATTAATGGAACAAAGAGACTGTGCTTGCTACCCACAGCTAGCCTTGGGAACTGGGGCACCAAGATACGGATATTAGAGGGAACCAAAAGCAGAGCAGCCAGGGAGCCATGTGTAAGCTGCAGGTGGGAGACAAGGTCTGGATGCTGGATGCTGCCCACAATTCAGGGATGGGCCCTTCCTCCTCCCTCATGCCCAGAACTGTAGCTATTACATTTTCTCATCAAGTACAACTCGAGCCACTTAAAACTGTATGGTAGGCTGCTGGAAATTTCACATTTATCTAGATACAATATACAAATAATGAAATCTCTTCCAATAAACTTGTATAGGTACACAAGCTAATCCCTGTTCTTTTCAATAGACAAGTAGATAGGATGTGACAAAGGAGGGTAATCCTTGTTTTTTTGTTAAAGGTGACATTCTTAAAACTACTGATTTCAGAGACAAGAATGGCTGGCATGAGAGTTATAGAATGGCCAGCAACATATTGAAATTTGATAATAATAAAAACTATTAATAGCCTCAAATAGTAAGTACGATTCTAAATGCTTTATACATGACTAATTTAATCCTTACAACAAATCTGTGAAAAGTGACTGTACTAGCCCTCTCTTACCCATGGGGGATAAAACAGGTGCCTGAAATCTCAGATTAACACCAAACCCTACACATACTATGTTTTTCCCTACACATCCATGTCTATAATAAAGCTTAACTTATAAATTAGGCAGAGTAAGAGATGAACAACTAATAACAAAATATAAATAATTAAAACAATATACTTGAATGAAAAAGTTACTTAACACTTATGAACTGGTTATTTCTACAGTGTTCCATGTAAACATTTTCAGATTGCAGTTGACCATGGGTAACTAAAACCTCAGAAAGCAAAACTGTGGGTAAGGATGGACAACAGTTTACTATGGTGTTATTGTACCGTTACAACCTAACAGAGACATAAGTCATATAATATATACATATAATATGCAAATGTATGATAAACACTCTTAGACTACTACTATCCATATTTGACAAAGGAGGAAATTAAGTCAGAAGGGGAATAGCTATTCTGCCTGGAATTTTCCAGCTAGTAAGTGGAGAGCTTGGATTAGAACCTAGTCCGTCTATTTCTTAATTACTGCACTCAACTGCCTGTCATATGTGCTGTGGGGCAGGGTGGCCTAGTGGGAAACTCAGGTCCACCTTTCACATGGTGGTCTGTATGAGTGGAGCCCTTGTAGCTGTCCTTGGGGTACCTGACTAGTCTCAGGTAATTCCTCACCCTAAAGTTCCTTTAGTAGAGCATTCCCAAACTCATGTTCCCTGGAATCAATTTCAAAAGATGGATGCCCCACCAAACAGGTCCAAAAAAGTCAGCTATATCTGGTAAGGGGTAAGTTAAACTAACTTGAATAGTTCCTTTACTGGAGATGTCTCGGACCTACTAATGAATTAATGCTCACCATGAATCACCAGGAAAGGAGGACATACTTATCTTATCTTCTAAGCATAGATGACCATTTGTATTGCATGGAAGTAGTGTTTAGAGGGATCTGAGCCTGGACACAGGTCCCTCCAAGGGCTTCTGTTCACTGGGTCCTCCACCTGTTGCCTGTGAGTTCCTCCACAGGCAAGTTTTGCATTCTAAGACAGATGCACACAGTTCCTCTTGGACCGATATTCTCTTCCCCCAGGCTGCTCTTTTTCTTAACGAAAGCCTAAAATCTTCATGAGTTTTGTTAACAGTCCCCAGTTGGATGCCAACTGGCATACAGTTAATACTGCCTGTTAACTGCCTATTTTCTGGCTTTTGGAATCTGGCTTGATCTGACTTCAGAGAGTCTTCAGAGTTTTTTTTTTTTTTTTTTTTAATATTCAGCTAACCTGACTCCAAACAAGATGGTTGCCTGATTCTTTTGGTCACCAATATGTCTCTCAATCAATGCAAGTATGGTGACTGAATTTGTGGGGTATCAGGAATTACAGAATAAACTGGACTCCCCAATACCAGTATATTTGGGAACCCCCTTCTACAACTACACTCATTTCCAGATTCCCGAGGCTCATGGCAAATGACCCTCAAGGAGCGCTAAACTGGAAAATTTCAATAACAGTGTGAATCTAAATAGTCCTGGGGCTGCTATCAGAAAGGCTCACATTCTTGAGGCAGCGCTGAAATCAAATTTCCACTGTCCTACTGACTATAAATGACACTTCATTTGGATGGAATACTATTATAGATAATGGACCCAACTATACTGAACTCAGGGGTGCAAAAAAGGAAGGAAGGAAGAAAGGAGATGATCTTCATCTCACTATAATCTCTTGACTTCCTATCTAGGGAAACCTTTTGTAGGTGACTTGAAGTAGTAGAGTTTCTGTTCTCTAGGGAGTGCTGATGAGTTGACTGTAATTTTTATTTCTAACACTTTAAAAAAATTTTTTTTGGTGGTCCTGGGATTTGAATTCAGGATCTCACACTTGCTAGGCAGGGGCTCTATGACTCGAGCCACACCTCCAGCCCTTCATAATTTTTATTTCTATGATGACATTATTTGGGCTTAAATCTACTAGAATCTCACAGGCTGTTAGATTTGATACTTTTGATGACTGAGGGAAAAGAGGAAAATACTATAGCTTTTGGCTGGTTGAAGGGGAGAGAAATCTGGTGCTTTTTAAAAGGAAAAATAACCATTAAAATAATTTTAAATTATTAATCCACTAAGACTCAGAGCAGAGGCCAAAGCCTGTCACTGAGTAAATAACAGTTGGAGATTCCTTTCAGACATAGCTTTTGTGAGGTCATTTTTTTGAGGCTAGTGGTGAAAAGTTTCATGGCCACATAGTAACATTTGGCAATAAATTAGTTCAGCTTGTTTCCACATGGCCCCAAAACCTTCATTTGTTCCATCATGCAAACTTTCATTTGCTTGAAGTAGGGGAAAATAAATTATTTTCCTTCTCACATTTTGACAATTTAATTTTTAGCATGCTCATATGTTAATCTTTAAAAAGACCACTAACTACTCTTTTCCTTGTTTGATTTTTAGTCTATTTATATAGTTTTTTCTTTATAGAAAAAAACACATTTTTTGCTTTTAGCAGAAAGAGCTAAATTTTCTCAAGGGCAAAAGCAATAAAGCCCCCCCCCTTGCAAAATAATGACTTAACATATCAGTGAGTGAGGCTGGGGAAAAGTCCTTCCCTGAAATTCTCAATGTATGAATTGAGTACTTCATGTCAGACAATGGTAACCTTATGATATGCTCCATGCTTGAAAGGAAGTAGAATAGGTGACTACATTCTTTTTTATTCCTATGACACTAAGTTATTCCTATGACAAAGGCAAGAACTGATCACTTTTCACTGTAGTTTGAAATAAATGTGACTTACCTGTTACATAGTCCTACTCAAAAAGCATTCCGTTAGAAAGGCAAAACAAAACAAGGAAACCCAACCAGAATTGTGGGAAATGTTACTTGGATAACTTAAGTTTGAAAAATATCTTAATCACGGTTTCCTCTGATTAGAGAGCAGTGTGTGTGTGTGTGTGTGTGTGTGTGTGTGTGTGTGTGTGTGTGTGTGTGTGTGGGAGTACTGGTGGTTATGGTAGCTAATATTTTTGAGCACTTAGGCTTTATCTTAAGATTTTTAATACATGAATTCATTTAATCTTGTGAGGTAGGTAATGGCATCTTCATTTTAAAGATGAGGAAATCGGGGCTAAAATTTTTATTTATGCAATTTTGCAAAGGCCATGAAGTGCTCTGATAGTAGGGAATTGCTCTAAACCATTAAGGTGTCAAGTTGCTATTGTCGCAGGCAGAGATTCAGTTACAATTATCTTTTTAATCACTAATGTTCAAGATAATTAGCAAGTTTTCCATTATATCCATCTACATTATCTCATTAATCAGTAATCAACCATGAACTACAAAAGATGATGGATGTCAGATAAAAGGATTCAGTTTCCTGAAGATATCTGACAACTAATAAGACAGTGTAGGACTTAATTTTTTAATTTATAAAACTCAGGCACTGGTTATCTTATTTCTGATTTCATATGACTTTCCCAAATGATTCCATAAACCACATATAAAAAGGGGATAGAGAAAAATAAAATGTTGGAAAAGATACAATTCGCATATGAATGCATTTAGGAAAACATCTTAACCATGAAAAATTCGACAATGTTGACTAAAAACTCTACTAGCAGAATCAAATCAAGGAGGAAAAGAAAAAGTGAAAACACTTTCAAGACACTAGGCTCAAGGGAAACACGATCAGGGAAAACAAATGCTCAACATACCAACAGTGGTGTCACATTTAGAGCTCACATTTTTTAAAAAATATGATCTCCCTGGAAGAGGGTAGGCATTGTTTTACTTAAAGTGCCTGAAGTATCTGTATTCATTATCATATGTCAGCAGCAATTCAAACAGGATTTTTGTCAAGGAAGAAAATATGAATCTCTATAATTCTTTTCACCAATGATATTTCTAACAAAAGCAAGAAGACACAATGAATAAATAATGGCTTTTCTATATAACAGAAATCTTTCTTACAGCCACTGTAAGAGAGCTACTGTTATCTTCCATTAACAACTGTATTTACAAATAAAATTATGAAGAGCAAACTTCTGTGTTACTTTTGAAAGGAGCTAAATACAACAGGCATATTGTATTACTTGGTGAATCTAATTTTTTGTGGCTTTCATTTTTATGCCGTACAAATGTAATGATACAGAAAATATATCCTTCAACATGGAATAGTCTATTAGGTAATACAGGTGTTGTCATGAATTTTATTATGCTCATTACATTAGTAATAACAATATTACAAAATAATAATTTGCTATGGTCAATAACATGAGCAATGGATACGTGAAAATGAAAGTATTTCATGTGAGAAGAGATAGCAACTCCAACACAAAATGATGCTCACCTCTAATTGAGATTTGTGTCCATTTCAGCAATTTCTTTGTTTTTAAAGTATATATTTTTAGATAAGATTATCTATCTACTGAGTAAGCAACGTTATAATTATGTGAATAATTACTCACCTAGTAAATCTGAAGCTCTCAAATTTTCTTTCAGAAACATAACAGAAATAATGGCACTACCTAGAAAGAAAATGGCCATTAATGGTAGTTCCAATATAAAACATATTATGCAGTGGCACTTGAAAGGAGTTAAACATTTTGTGTCTTATGCTTGACTACTGTGACCTGAGCAGAGATACCCGGCAGATATGACTATAAAAACAACTTTCTTCTCCCTGATGGCTGAAGAAACATGGAAATTGGTCTGATTCTCAGTGGATGTAGGACAGTGTGGCTGGGATAGTGCCTGGCCTACAGGGAAGCTTCATAAAAGTTTACTGAATAACTAAATGGATGAATGGGAAGTAGTGAAGGAAGGAAGGGAAAAAGGAGGAGATAAAAGCAAAAAGAAAAGAAAGAAAGAGGGAAGAAAGTGCAGGAAGGGCTGAAAAGCCAGGAAGATAGATGGTAAGGAAAGAAGGAAGAATGGAAAACCTTTTAATTATGCTCCAAACTGAAACCCATCAATTCCTGGCATTTCCTTCTATAATTGCTATTCCAGTGTTTGCGCCTATCCATTTAATACCACCAGAATCCAGGATTCCCCCTGGTCTCCTCTTCTTCCCATGCCACACCCAACAGACTACTGGGTCTTATCTGTAGTTCACCATCTTTCATGCCCTCTCCCTCCTCTTCAGTTCTCTTGTCACTGCCCCAGTTCAGGCCAGCTTCACTTCTGGCTTAGATCATCATTAACAGTGTCTCTACACCTCTCATTTTTCCTCTTCCCCCCATACCACCACCAGTGTAATCTTTCTAAAATGCAAATCTAATGTAAACCCATACATTTAAAATCTCTTAATTGCTTGTCATCTACAAGGCCACACCTCTTAATTGCTTGTCATCTGCAAGGCCACACCACTGAACATGACACTTAAAGATGGACATATTTCTCCTGCCACTTTCCTCACCACATTTGTCCTCCACCTGTTCTATACTCTATGTTCACCCTTACTGAAATACGTAATCATAATCTCCAGAATCCACCATGTAGTTTCATCCTTAATGGCTTTTACATGTAGAGCTCTGCCCTCAGTCTGTGATCAAGTTTACATTCAAGATCACCTCCGGATTTCCTCAGGCTGAGCTGACCACTCTACTTCTATGTTGGAATGATTCCTATATTTAGATTTCCATTATACCTAAGGTTTACTTTCTTGTCTTCATCCAAAAGAATCCAGTTCCTTTTAGTGTAAGCTAAGTCTTCTTTTCTAAGCTCTCCAGTGTATAGCTAGTATCTAGCACATAGTAAGTGTTCAATAAATGCTTGTTACAGGAAATGAATGTGCTTGTGGAATCTCAGGTCTGCAATTGCTAACTCTCATGAAATTTTAGCCCTTCTGTGCTGCCTGACTCTCACCCCTGTAGCTGAGCCATGGCCTGCTGCTATGGCCTCAGGGATGAGGAATAAATTAAACCTCTGAGTCATTCCTCTAATAGGCCGATTTCTCTATGAGTACAGGCATCAGAGAACTCAAAATTATAATAATGAAAAAATGATGCACAACACAATTTGGATTTAAAAATTTTTAAACAAAAATTACTAGCTGAGTTTTTTAAAAGCAAAAATAGAGGGAAGAAAATTGTCATGAAATAATATCATCTAGAGAAAACTGCAGTTAGCATATTGATGGTTTTATTTCCCTTTAGTTAAGACAGAACTATGATGTGATTTTTTTCTCTTTTCTGTTACCATTTTAGAAACAACTTGCCATATCATTAAGAATTCTTCATAGACATAAATTCTGTATAATATTCCATTAAATGGAAGATGCAGTTAAATTTGAGTATGACTTCATCTAGTATTCTGGCAACTTATTTATTTTTAAAATTCATTTATTTATTTAATTCATTTATTCACATGTGCATACATTGTTTGGGTCATTTCTCCATCCTGCCCCCCTCCCTCTTCCTTCCCCCCTCGCTCTGTCAGTTCCAGGCAGGTCCTGTTCTGCCCTTATCACTAATTTTGTCGAAGAAAAGACACAAGCATAATAAGGAAGACAAAGCGTTTTTGCTAGTTGAGTTAAGGATAGCTATACAGAGAGATTCCTAACATTTTCTTCATGTACCCATGTGTTACAACCCATGTTGATTCGTCTCTAACTGATCTTTACACTGGTTCCTGATCCCCTGCTCATGTTAACCTCTGTCGCTTTGAGGTTTCTGTATTAGTTCCTCTGGAGTGGGGATATCAAACGCTTTCATGTTTTGGGTTTTCTACCTATTCCTATATCTCCTGTATGTGCTCTCCCCTTATCATGTGATCCCAGTCCAACCATGTTGCTGCATTTGCCCTAGATCTAAAGTCCGCATATGAGGGAGAACATATGATTTTTGGTCTTCTGAGCCTGGCTGACCTCGCTCAGAATGATGCTCTCCAGTTCCATCCATTTACTTGTGAATGATAAGATTTCATTCTTCATGGTTGAGTAAAATTCCATTGTGTACAAGTACCACATTTTCTTGAACCATTCATCAACAGTGGGGCATCTTGGCTGTTTCCATAACCTGGCTATTGTGAATAGTGCTGCAATAAACATGGGTGTGCAGGTGCCTCTGGAGTAACCTGTGTTGCATTCCTTTGGGTATATCCCCAGGAGTGGGATTGCTGGATCATATGGCAGGTCTATGTTTAGCTTTTTAAGAAGGCTTCAATTTTTTTTCCAGAGTGGTTGCACCAGCTTGCATTCCCACCAGAAGTGGAAGAGGGTTCCTTTTTCCCCACATCCTCACCAACACATGTTGTTGTTGGTATTTTTGATGATGGCTATTCTAACAGGGGTGAGGTGGAATCTTAGTGAGGTTTTGATTTGCATTTCCTTTATGGCTAGAGATGGTGAGCATTTTTTCATGTGTTTTTGGCCATTTGAATTTCTTCTTTTGAGAAAGTTCTGTTTAGTTCAATTGCCCATTTCTTAATTGGTTCATTGATTTTAGGAGAGTTTAGTTTCTTAAGTTCCCTGCATATTCTGGTATTAGTCCTTTGTCTGATGTATAGCTGGCAAATATTTTCTCCTACTCTGTGGGTGGTCTCTTCAGTTTAGAGACCATTTCTTTTGTTGTGCAGAAGCTTTTTAATTTTATGAAGTCCCATTTATTCATCCTTTCTCTTCGTTGCTGGGCTGCTGGGGTCCTATTGAGGAAGTCTTTGCCTATACTTATTAGTTCCAGAGTGTTTCCTGCTCCTTCCTATAGTAACTTCAGAGTTTCAGGTCTGATATTTAGGTCCTTGATCCATTTTGAGTTGATACTAATACAGGGTGATTGACATGGATCTAGTTTCAGTTTCTTGCAGATGGGTAACCACTTTTCCCAGCAACATTTGTTGAAGAGGCTGTCCTTTCTCCATCATATATTTTTGGCACCTTTGTCAAAATTGAGGTGGGTATAGCTGTGTGGATTCACATCCAGTTCCTCTATTCTGTTTCACTGGTTTTCATGTCTGTTTTTGTGTCTGGCAACTTATTTAAAACACAATAATAACTTACACTTGAAAGCTTTATTTAAGATAAGCTGGGATGCTCATTTGTTTTGTTTTGTTTTTTTCCTTAACCTACTATTTCTCATTTGAGTTGATCTCTGTCCTTGCAAACTCTTCCTGGGAAGGTTAATTTATATGAATGGAAGTTTCACACAGAACAAACTGAATGTTGTAAGTGTTCACCAAGCATGTGTTTAATTGGGAGGTGTGATTCTAAAATATTAAAGCAAAGTTTTCTGTATACTGATGTGCAGATACATAGCCTATTAAAAAATTAAGAACTGAATATGGGACAGGTATAAAAATATAGAAAAAATTTCTACTTCTGGGTTGGACCAAACTAATTCAGGGAAACTCATTTTCCATATTTAGAGTTTTAGAAAAGGCATAAAAGCCAAGAGCCCTGCAAGCCTTGTCTCCTCTCTGACTTCTTGTAAGTAGGTAGGGAATTTTTCCAAGCAGAAGGAGATAGATTAGCAATAAAAAAAAAAAAAGTGAAATATAGCTATACTAAAATATACCAAATTCATTACATTTCAGCAATCCTTCACATGACTATTTCACAGCAAAGGATTCCAGTAAGGTGGGAGACACTGCTTCTAAGGAATGAGGAAATTTCAGGATAGTAGGAGACATAGACATGCCTACTTCAGTCCAAAACTTTACAACTGGAAAACTGACATTTGAAGCGGTTGTTTGTGTATTCACTCTCTGAGTCACTCAAATAGCAAACTGGTACTACAGTGGTGCTGGAGGGGCACCCACACTTCCTTATTCTCAGTCCAGAGCTCTTCTAGTACTCTCTACCATTGTTTCCTTGAAGTCAGAGAAGATATCATCTTCCTTTTTCTGTTGCTAAGCCAGTTTCATAAGTACTTTAACTTTCAGAAGGAAGAGGGAAAATAATTTCATTACTTAAAGTAAAAACGACATAATTTTAACAAAAAACTTGAAATATACTACATGCATTAAACTGTATTAATTGCTATAAAATAATTATCAGAGTCTTATGAAATACAAATGTGCTACTCTTCCTTTCTGAAAGAATTTAGAAGTCTGATGTACTTCCATACTCATCTAATGACTTTTTTTGTTTTAAGAGAACATTAGATTTTTCTTACCAAGTTTTTAGGTAGGCGAATGAGATGTTAATTTATTTATATAGCAAAATAACTTTAAAAAAGAATATTCTACCACGGTACATTCACTTATCACTCATTTATATGCAAAACTGGGTGAAATAGAAGCTGTGCTGAACAAAAAAGGCAGTATCAAAGCAAATAGTTAAGAGCATGACTTCTTAGTACAGTACTACATTTTTTAAATGAGAAAAAACCCCATAAATCTTTGCAATCAGAGATCTGTCTGACTGAAGCCACTCCAGTTGTTGCTATAACAATAACCATTGTCTAATGAAAAAAAGCAAATTATTACACTTTTCCTCCTATAGTAAAATTTAATACTCAAAACCTGAAATAGCAGTTCAATAAAATGGAATACATCTGCAAACTAAACAGATTTGAACTAGGTGTGATTA